TGTGTTGGAAACATCCAAATAATTTGCAGTGAAATTTGGGCTGTTAGGAGACAAAATTAAGTAAATTAAAGACATTGTAAATCTCCATATTTTATAAACACTTGCAATACTGAGTTTATTTTATCAACAAACTGAACACAATAATAATTTTTTTTGGAAAAATTTCCAGTTTTTCACATGCATATAATTTTTGTGAAGGATGTATTTTAGCTAAGCGTACACAATGCTTGCATAAGCAAATTTATAAAGTGATCAAGGTTAACCATTAAAGAAATAAAAGACATAATGCTTTTGCCAAATTATTCAAACTCTGAGAACAACATGAAGACCTCCCAGAATGAGGTATTGATTCTAAAGCTTCTCTACTGTTGGTGCTGGGTCTGTTCTGGGTGACTGCTGAAACATAGTTTAGCATGGAGACTAGGAGGAAACGAAAGTAATGCCTGTTACCCCCTAAAACACACATGAGAAGTGGAAGGGAAGACTGAACCTCTGGGATTGGAAATGGATTATTTTCTTCTGTTATATAAGAGCATGCAGCTGAAGAAGTCTGTTTTATTTCACAAGATGATTTCTAAATTAGAAACATAAGTAAATCTGATCTGGGTGGGATTACTATTTCCAATTAATCCTGTGTGACCTATACTATTTCCTGTCATGCATGAGTGCATTAGAAAATACAGGAATGCATTTATATTTTTCTTCACCAGTCTGGTTCAGAGGTGAAGTAAAAAAAATCAGGGAATAAAATTTCTCATCTCAATTTTGTCACCATTGTTCTTTACATACATCTGAGATCATATGGATCAGATCTTTCTTTTTCTTTTCCCATAATGTTTAGATTAGCAATTCTCCCAGCAGTAAAGCGCACTTACAGGCTAAATTGAATCTAAAGACAGCACTCACCATGACCGTTTTTATATTCAGGCTCCATATTTTTTAAAATTGGCTTTATGTGGACTGTGCAGTCTTTGGCACATTATCAATGCCCACCATGTTAGAAGTCAAAACAAGCCATTCTCTATCACAATAAAAGGTGTAGATCTGCTGTATCCCTGCCAACAGTGCAGAGTGGAAGGACAGAATTGCTTTGTAAAATCATTCCAACTGATCTTTTTCACATGTGGTTATATAACTACCTCAAACTTGCATTTATTTCTGAAATAATGCAATTAAAACATTCATAATGAAGATTATACATGCTTTTAAAATGTTTGTATGTCTTTATACATCTCTAAAGAGCAGTTTGCATTGACTCAAACATCTTTAGCTGCAAATCCAGCAGCAAATATGTCAAAAATCTGTAGTTCCTGTGTATTTTCAAATTGGAGTTTGGTGTGAATTTGGACTGGATTTGTTTTAAAAAATGGATATTGTTTCATCTGAAAAAGCTTTATTGTAACTCTGGCTGCAATTCTATAATGCTGGAAGGTGAAGCTCTGCTTCATAAATTTTTTTCTGTTAGTTAGGGCTAGCTTTTATCTCCCTAGTAAAAGAAAACAACAACAAATCATCCACCTTAACAAAATGCTACCACTATACTAAAGTGTAATCATGGGGATGGATTGCGGAGGTCAGTCTCCATTGTGTGCAGTGATTTCCATTTATGCCTGGACGTTTAGTTTCCATCTCAACTAATCTCCCTGTTTTTCTGTGTCCTGCTAGTCTAATCCAACCTGAAATACAGGTATTGCAGAAGTGTGTGATTTAAATATATATTCAAAGGTGAAAAGGTTTTAGAGGGAGCAGTATGTTTGTTAGGAACTGTTTCCCAGCATTTTAATTTAGAAGTCAATTTTTTGTTTCTTTCTCTAGCGGATTTTTGCCATCAACTTATCATCAGATTGAACATATCTGTCTCTAACTGCCCTCCAGATGTGCACCTGTCAAACAAAAAGGTGAACAGGATCACTTTTTACTCCACCAAGCAGCTCTCTAAACATGTGTGAAAGAACAGGGTCACACACCTCCTGTGATCTATTACCACACTCACTAAGCTGCTTTCTCTCAGCTGTCACAAGTACAGTTGTCAAATTAGGCTCAGCTTTTACACTCTTCAAAATAAACTGCAACTCTTTCAAGATGTAGATTTCAATATTTTGTTCATTGTAAAATGCCCTGAAGATTAAAAACACGAGACGGCAAAAGGAAAAGAAGAAAAGTCTCTGGGTTTCTGTGTTTTCTCTGAAGTGCACTAAGCAACAGATGACAGCACAGGGAGTGATCAGTGTCAACATTTCTCAGAGACCATAAAAAAGAGCCTCCAAGGGTGGTCCAGGGAAAAAAGCAGCATGAAGGCAAACAGTTAGCAGTGCTGTAATATTGCTATACATATGTCATGCTGTTTTTTTTAGAGAACTTGACAAGAAGCTAAATATTCTATCACATTGACATTGCAATGCTATCATTGCAGCTTCTTTCTCCTGTACCATTTTGAAGGTTTTGTAAATGGTAGTGGCTTCTTTCAGATCTTTCAGACAGGAAATGTGCAGAGTAAGAAAGGGGGAAGACATCAGAAAATGTTCCAAGGTTGGGGAATAAACCCAAGATGGCTGCCGGGATCAATTGCCCCATACACCCATCAACCTCTACACTATATGCTGCCCGCTGATCTGAGCACCTATAGTAAAAAATGTTCTGACAGCCACATCATCGCAGGTTATAACCGCTGCCTCCTTAGCAACAAATGACTTAACATCAGGTGATCAGGATGTTGTGCAAGAGTTCTCTGATTCTAGTACTTGCCCTTTCCCTTTCAATGTGATTTTCTCACAACTGGCTGAGCTCCATGAACCTACTAACTTGACTCTTCTCAAACCATGGTTCCTCCACGCTACACCATGACTACTTTTCCTAAAACAGCTGTGAAGCGATGTTAAGTACCGCATGTGCTGCTAAATGCTCCCCTCTGAATGCAAGAAATTATTCACATATGAGCCTAAAGAGCTTGAATCCTTATTTCCTGAGTTTCAGCGAGTCCAGGGGAACATTCAGCAGTTGCTATAGTTGCGCTGGCAAGAAGGAAACAGAGAGGGGACAGAGAAGGCCAAGTCCTGCATCATGCAACAAGTAGTTACAGTCATATTATTATGTGTTGGATTCTAAGCCCATCTGAAGACTGGGAGAACTGAAACCCTGCTTTGATATGCATCTTGGTGATGGGTTGCCAAATCTAATAAAAAACAAGGGCATTCTCTGTTACTCCTGTTGCTGGGATTTTTTTTTTTTTGAATGGTTAAATACACAGCCAGAATTAAATTACCCAATAGAAATGCTGACATGTAGCAGAATCCTCATATAATTACAGTGGAGACGTTTTACTTTTACAAAGCCTTGAATGTATGCAGGCATCCCAACATGTATGTGCTTCTTTTAAAACAAGGGAATCTGATATTTTTAAAAGAAGAACTCAAACATTTATTGGGATTTTTCCAGACGTGCCTGTTCAGAACAGAACAAAACCTTTTACTCCAGAGAGGTACCTAAAATTTATCTAGCTCAGTACTCTGATGTGATGATGAAGATCAGAGTTCACAGTTTTCAACTCTTAAAGTACAGCTAGGCAACTTTATGTAATGTTCTATAGACTTGGATTAAAAAATAGGAGGAAAAAACATAACAGTTTAAATAAGCTTTCCTTCTCTAGTAATGCCACAGTGAGAGACTGCATTACAATTAAGGTTTGATTTAGTGGTGAATTTCTCCAGATTTGTATTTTTGTAAGTTTCTCACTATTATACACCAAGGGAAACACGGAATACACATCACTGATATTTGCATTAGATTACAGTATATGATAATTGAGGAGGTACATTTATTCTTCCTCTGTCCACATAATTGTAGCCAATTCGTTTACCGGTTGGGATTTGGATGCCGTATCTTTCCAGATTGTATCCAAACACCCTTTTCATTTACAAAATGCAAAACAAAGTAAAAACACCTAAAACTGATGAATGCCAAGGTGGTTTATAAATTACATGTTGTTGTTGGGCTATTTTAGTTAAAGTGTACTTCAACGATCTTCTTAATCTGTTCATATCTTTGGAAACATACGTTTATTTACAGTCACCCTTTTCCGAAACTGATGTAATGTTGAAAACACTAAATTAAATACCGGTACTCTTCTTAAAGAGGCGATATTTTCTCACAACCTGTTTTCTCGCAGTCTGATTTTAAATCAATTAAGGGTTTTCCCTGTTTAGACTTTGATTTCCACATGAAGCTGTTTAGGAAGGAGAAGGTGTTTAGTGTTCCAGAAAGGATCATGTTTTTCTATAAAATTCATTGATAAAGTTTGTAAAAGAAAGAAGAGAAGCATTCGACCACAAAGACAGATGGGGGTGGAGTGAAGGAAAGCCCAATTTCTTAATACATGTAGATCGGCCAAAGATTTAAAATTTTAGACAGAAATTAGTGCTCTAAGGAAAAAAATCAATATAGGGTAACAACTGAATTTGTTGCAGAGTGGCTTTAAGACAACAAAGTCATGGTCCACTAATCTGACCAGTTCTTTCAGGGGGAGTGGGAAACAACAATAATAATAGACAAAACTTACAGAAATCTAATGGGAAAAACCTATGAAAGGATAAATAAGATGTTTGAAATTTGTGAAATTTAAAAGTTAATCCTACCAAATAATGACATGTATGTTAATTTTTTGGATATCATCTTTCTCATAATTTCTCACCATTTTCCACAGAAGCATATTTCAAACACTCAAAACTCTGGAGAATCAGTTGGTTGTATTTTTATTAAACCTGACTGACCCCCCATTTACAATTCCTAACTGTATTAGAGTTACTTCAGCTGCTGAAACATTTAAAGTCTAATATGTGCAATTATATTTTCAAGCTGTGCATGTTTCCATTTTTCAGAATATGACTTAGTGACCCTTAAGAACATGTAGAGTACAACTTTACACCTTAAATGAAAAATATGAAGTTTAGTCTTTCTTTTTACTTCACTATAGCTCATATATTATTGTTGTTTTCTGTTCTCAGAAACCACTGTGCTTACATGGTCCAGAAGAACATCACCTGCATCCTGCATGATGGAGTGGAAACCTATGTGAAAGCTGAATACACCACCAAGTGCATCTGGGGACAGAAATGCCCTGTAGTCATGTAGGCTTTCTTGCTGTTATTAGCAAAATGCTAAACTTTTTAAAGTGATTCTGTCTTGTACTTTCAGTCTAATTTCGTAGGGTTTGACTTCATCATTTGAAATATGTAGATAAGCCTTTGGGTTTAAAAACGCATCAGGGAGCTATCAGCTCCCTGACAAACTATTTGCAAGTGCTGCCCTCTAGTGACCAAATCATATTGTGCTTTACAGGTGGAGGCAAGGGTTTTGTGTGTTTGAGGTTTCTTTTCTAATGTGTTACAAGGAAAATGTAGGAAATTTGCTCTTAATTTGCTTACTTTTTTCATTTAGAATGTAACTAGCATTTTTTAAGTGTTTACCAAACTATTAATCAGGCTATAAGTAAAAACTGCAAAAGGTGGATATTTCAATAAAAGATTGATGTTTTGCAACAGATGTTCAAAAATTTACTTTATCTTCTTTAATATTCCATGATATTCATTTCAAAAACCTACACACAAAGAAAAATAGCTGAATTTAAACTTTAAACAATGTCAGTTCAATTTGTGATTGCATCAAAATAATAGAGTGGGTTTGATTTCAAACAAGATAATATTAAAGTGGAGGGATGACCTGAACCCAATGCTCTGATGCCACACAATTTACATCGGAATTTATCTTAATCTCTTAATCTTATTTTAATCCTTGTTTAATACCCCAGAAAACAACTTCCTGCATTATTTGACTCTGTGCCATCTTTTTATCCTACATCCATGCTCCAAGCTGAATTGCTTGACAAAGAAAGAAGTTTCATCAGCCTGAAACATCTGTATATAACACTAACAGAAAGAAATCTGTTTCTGTCTTGATTCATTCAGGTATAGAACTTTTCACAGGCCAACATACAAGGTAGGGTACAAGACTGTGACTGAACTCGAGTGGAAATGTTGCCCTGGTTTCTCGGGTGAAGCTTGTCATGATGGTCCTACAACACTACCTGACATCATAGGCCCCCATCGCCCAGGTATTAAAGGGTTCCCTCATGGACCTAGACCCCCAGTGGACCAGAAGCCTGAAGGAGCACCACTGGATCCAGGCAAATTCTTCCCTGGTGGAGGTGGAAAGCCTAACTATGGTAAAAATTGACTTTGTTGTCTTGTACTCATAAATCTTGTGAATCTCTCTAAATAAGAAGTCGGCTTTTCAGGAGTTACAGGTGAACGCTTAGACCGCATGGAGCAGGACTTGCGTCGCCTCACCCTGGGTCTAGAAACCCTCACTGGGGTAGTGAATGGCCTTGAGGAGCGACTTCGAACATCCCTTCGTGAAGAAACCAACAAGCTTCTGGTGTCACTACTGCCTAACCCTCCAAGAGCTCCAGACTCCACGGTGGGATTTGGAGAGATCCCAGATGGGTCCCCTGATGGACTGGATGGAGGAGGAATCCTAACTGGATTTGGAGACTTAGTAGGAAGAGTGACAGAGGTGAAAGATGAGCTTCGAGCTAAGACTCACATTTTGGAAGAGATTCAGGTGCCCCATCTTGATTCTGTAAAAAGATCCCTTGCTATTTAGTATTTATAAACTCTTTTAAAATATTCCACCTTTTTTCTGTGTATGTGTGCCATTAGGGTATGGTCATCGGTCACGATGGCCAGCTGAAGAAGCTGTTGGAAGGAGCCGATGGTAAGCCTATCACTGGTCCAGGTGCAACGACTTATCTGGATGAGATCCTGGATATCAAGCTAGCTGGTGTGAGAGCTGAGATCCTCGATGGCTTTGAACAACGTCTCAATGGCATGGAGAATCATTGTGATGAGAAGATTGGGGAGGTACAGCGGCAGTGCCAAAGGGAGCACTTGGACGGCCAGGAGCAGATGCAGCAGTCTCTGCAGGGCAGAGAAACTGGGCTGAGGGAGGAGCTGGGCTCCTTGCAAGCTCAGATCCAAGGTCTCACCCTTACCGAGAGCTGCTGTGGACAGGTAAGAGTGGCTTCAATAAAGTTGGACATCAAAAAATATTCTTGATAAATAAATGCTTTGTCATTAAGGAGCTAATGAAATAAATTGTTGATAATTCCAGGTAAACAGCCTGTCTGACCGGATGTTGCAGTTGGAAGAATCAGTAAAATATTTAACAGAATCCCAGAGACAGCTGCAGACAGCCCTCACTGACCAAACCCTTCAAATAGAGACCCTAGTGGAGACACGCCTAATCGAAATGGAGGGTAGAGTCAATGCTACCAACGGTGGACTTGGTGGGGGTGAAGGGCCTCCAATTGGTTTGGATGGTTTCAAAACATTGCTTGAAGACAAGCTGAAGACTCTAGAGGAGAAACTGTTTGTGGCAGTGGAAGAACTGAGTAATGCAACTACTCCAGCCATTCTGGAGGGCCAGGTGGTTCCTGCTCTAGAAACAGAAATACAGTCTGTGAGGAGGAGATTGGACGGAGACCTAAGTGGCATTCAGACACAGCTATCAGAACTGAAAATCCTTTGCTCCACTTGTTCACAATCCACTCCACAAGAGGGAGCTGTCATTGACCCCTTAGTAGATGAGGAATGCAAAGGAATGGACAAGAAGATGACAAACCGTCTGGACTCACATTCTTACAGACTGGACCACCTTAACAGCACCTTGAATAACCTGTTAGTCCGCCTTTCTCAGATGGAAACAGAGGGCTCCATTCAGGGAGAGATCACTCTGCTTAAGGTCAACATAAACTCTGTGAACCGAACTCTGAAGGGCCTAAAGGACTCCATCAGCTTTATCGCAACTGAAGTAGGCCATGCTAACTCCACATGGGAGCAAAGGGAACATCAAATCGTCAACCAGATGCAAGGAATCACTAAACTGATGGGACATCAGTCTTCCCTTCTTGGAACTAGTGAAAGGAGACTGGCAGAGCTTAGGGTTGAGCTAGCAGCTCTAAAAAGACAGTTGTCCGGGGGGCTACAGGGCTGCCGCAGCACAGCAAAGGAGGTGCAGAAAGAGGTAAAGGACGTTGACAGCAGGGTAAGCCAGGTTGAGAGCCAATGCAGCAGCCTTGGGAAACTTGCAGAGGACTTGGAAAGGATCAGAGCAGAGCTAGAGAAACACTCTGTCGACATCCTGAGCCAGGTTAACAGCACCTTGACCACTCATTCGGAACAGCTAAATGACCACAAAGGCAAAGTCCAAGACTTGGCACTGAAGGATTCCCACAACCAAAACGACGACCAGTAGCATTTAAGCTACAGTGATTGTAAAAAAGACTCACTGTATTTGTGCTTCTTATTAGGCCCAGGAGACAAAAGTTTTGCTTGCTTTGCCTCTCTCGTATAAAAAATATCTATCCATATTTAAATTGATGCAACCCACAACATTTAATTGACATAAACTTTTATTTCTAGTATTTCATTTAAGCATAGCACCGAAAGAAAATACCTAAAAAAAAAAAACTTCCCAGAGCTTTTTGTTTTGTAGGGCATTTATTTTTATATTTTTTTCTCATAATTATAAGTGTTTATCCTTCTATTATTTTAACTTATATAAAGTGAAAGTATAATAATGATGTTGAAATGTTGTTTTATGGAGAGATGCCAAGAGAAGAAAAATTGCTGCTACAGGTTTCTGCTGACAAGCGTACCGGTGTAGGTACCAGATTGACTCGGGCTGCCAGATTGACTCGGGGGCCTGCGCCTTTTGAGATGCGTCAGAGCGTCCGCCATCTTAAATGTGGCAAATCTGCAGTTTCTCAGTCACTTAAACAGTATCAGAGGGACTTTAATCTCTGAATATACTTTGTATTCGTAGTATTTTTGGTTTTGTAATATTACAAGTTTATTTTTTGTATCCCTTTAGCTTCATTCTCCTGAATTTATTCTCGTTACAAATGCAGACCGCGGGCTCAATGTAGTTTGTTTGAGTGGCATTGCCATAATGTCACGTCATCGGGAGGCGCAAGGCCCATGGCGAATTCGGTGACGTCATCGGAAGGCGCAGGGACCATGGAGAATGTCTTCGTAAAATTGTCCGTTTACAAACAGCAATCCCGCTTTCGAATAAAACCTACACCCCGCTATAATTACTTTAGTAAGCTGTCCAGACCAATCAAAATGTTTTGCGCAATTGTGCAAACGTTAAAACAATTATGTATTGTGACGTCATCAAAAGGCGCAGGCCCCCGAGTCAATCTGGCAGCCCGAGTCAATCTGGTACCTACACCGGACATCATGTTGATATTAGCCTTGCCTTTTGTTAAACAAATACTGTATGTCAAACTGGTGCTATGTACATTGTTTAATGGTTGTTTTCATGTTTTTCAAGAATGCTTTACATACATATCTGTTTGGAGAGTGGTCTGTATTTCCTGCCGCATTGCTCTGATCAGAGAAAAGTTCCAGGATTAACCATTAGGGGACAGTGAGAACACACAGTGACATGGCCTGGAAATAATTGAGAAATAAAATCTGAAAGTTCAAAACCTGTCCTTTTTTATTTTTATCAAATCGGCTTTTATTCATAAATTGTGTTAACACTTTACCAAACAATAATTTGTAAGCTAATTTCAATATATTCGGTTGGCCATATAAGAGAAATTTTCAATATCATTTGGGTATATTAAGTATAATATTTTTTTCTTGGATTATTTAGAAATACAAAAAAATGCTTATAGATTTAAAATATGGCAATATATATATATGCATTTCAACTTTAATAAGTCATGAGTTCTTACATAAATATATGAAAATTCAAAGTAATACTTGAAAAATCTCAACATATCTAAATAAGTGAAGCAGCATCAATGCTAAACAGAGTCTGTCAAGCATTTTTAACCTTAAGCCACTTTCTAATCAATTTGGTGGTATAGTTAAGGTCAATCTTTATTTAGAAAGTCTATTTCTTTCATCTCTGGGAATGTACAGGCCTTCCACTAACCTCTGAAGTACCATCATGCAAATATATCAAATGTTGGAGGTAGGCATGTATTGGAAGAAAAACTTGGACCACATAACAGGTTTACTGGTTATACAGACAATATAGGTGGGAGGGAAAAAATCCCCTTGACATGAAAAACCAAAGTATTGTTCCTTCATGGAAAAGCTATACAACACACAGAAAACTTTAACAAATATCACCTTAATAGTCTGTAAGCCTATAATATTCTTGATTAAAAGGTGTTGAAGAGAAGATAAATTTATATATATTTCTCTATAAGCCAACCAGGAAGTAACAAACATTTACAGTAAATGTGTGTCCAGCACAAGTTTTCCCCTAAAACTAGTCTAGCACTGAGATGATTAAAAATAATAGTGTCAGTTCCTCTCTAAGCGTGGGCTTAGAGTTACAGCAAAGCCAGTTGTGGAGTTAGACTTGCAGCAGGTTTCATTTAATATAATCATACAGTTTGAGAAGGCACCATCTTTCATTAATTGACTCTCTGTCAGAATCTAATGTAGACCAGAAATGTGTTATGTATGCTGTGTAGCATATGGGAATTGAAGGAACTGCCGCACAGCTGCCCCAGACTCAAATAAATAACAACATGAAGATATTTGTCCTTATTTAAATAAATGTTTCCCAAACAGCTAAGGAGGTTCCTGCATGATAAATCTTCTCCTGATCATCTCCTGATATTGCAGTCACATCAAGAACTCTTAGCCTAAATTAAGGAATGAGGTGAAATAGAGATAGATATTTAAGATGGACATGGTTGCCAAATCATACAACAGTTCAGACTTCATACTAGTGCAGGCAGCATGAGTGAAGCGAGCTGTGAAATTTGGTTTAAGCCAGAAGCTCCGTCAGCAGGTCTTCTGTGGCCTGTCAGCATTTACTGTCTTTAATAGACAACAGTTCACAGTGACAAAAACAGGATAAAGTTATTCCAACATAATGAAACCCAGGGGCTCAGCATAAAAATATCCTGGAGGCAAGACTTCAATCAGATAAAGAAGGGTGAGGTCGAAGGAAAAAGAAATTGAAGATATGCAGAATGAGGACACAGAGCTGAGGCTAAGCTTCCGTCAAATAAAACTCAGCTCTTGGAGAAATTGCCTAAGAACTTTCTCAATCTAGCTTAAAAGTATCAACATTTAGAATTCAGTCAGATAACAACGATAAAATTTAATCTTTTCCCTCTCTTTATTGCTTTTACCTGTTTATCATGTCACAATCAACTCTTTTTTTTATCAGTCAGTTGATTACAGTACCAAGAAAACATATATTCAACTTTTAGAATCATAAACTTGAATGCATTTTAAAAGGATTCTCATGTGGTGCCTCAAAATGAATCCAATTCAAGAGATTGCCATCAGAATCCGATAAGTAATATAATTAGTAAACACTTCCTGTAATTTTCTCTATGTGTAAATTCAGAGATTAAATTATTATAGTTTGAATCTGTTTTTATCTGATGCACTTACATTCTAAAAAAAAAGGAATAATTTGTAAGTTGTATTGTTATAGAAAGTCTGGGTACATATTGAAATTAGACTTACTCTATCGTTGCTCACAGGGGAGATATTACAAGCTGAAAACTAGTGGCTACAGAGGCTTGGTAGGGTTGCATGAGAAAGTTTTTTTTTCTCTCTCGCTTTAACAGCATAATTTCCTTATTAGACAACTTGATATAAAATTGTTGTATGCTTCGCTAACAGCACCAAGTGATTCTCCCTATTGTAATTTTAAGTCGTCGTATTAAAGACGGAGTTTTCTCGTTGCTATCCGGTAGGGTTCTAGTTTACAGTGAGGAAAATAGTATGAGTATTTGAACACCCTCCTATTTTTCTAGTTCTCCCACTTAGAAATCCTGCCTGGGTCTGAAATTGTCAGCGTGGATGCATTTCCACTGTGAGAGACATAATATAAATGAAAAAAAAAAAATCCAGAGATACCAATTTATGATTTTTTTTAACTATTATTTTGTATGATACAGCTGTAAATAAGTATTTGAACACCTGAGAAAATCATGTTAATACTTGGTACAGTCGCCCTCATTTGCAACTACAGAGGTCAAATGTTTCTTGTAGTTTTTCACGAGGTTTGCACACACTGCAGGAGGGATTTTGGCCCACTCCTCCTCACAGATATTCTCTGGATCAGTCAGGTTGCTGTGCTGTCGCTGAGAAAAACAGTATGACCTCCATCTAAAGATTCTCTATTGGGTTTAGGTCTGGAGACTGGTTAGGCCACGCCTTGATGCTTCTTACAGAGCCACTCCTTGGATCCCCTAGATGTGTTCTTCGGGTCATGGTCACGTTGGAAGCGCCAGCCTCGACCTAACTTCAATGCTCCAACTGAGGGAAGGAGGTTGTTCCCCAAAATCTCGCAATACACGGCCCAATCATTCTCTCCTTAATACAGTGCATTCACATGTGCAGAAAAAAACCCCCAAAGCATGATGCTACCACCCCCATGCTTCATAGTAGGGATGGTGTTCTTGGAATAGTACTCCTCATTCATCTTCCTCCAAGCAGGGTAACCTTCCGTTCCATGCATGATTTCAAAACATGATGCCTTAGTGCATTACCAACAGTAACCTTGGAAACGGTGGTCCCAGCTCTTTTCAGGCCATTAACCAGCTCCTCCCGTGTAGTTCTGGGCAAATATCTCACATTTCTTAGGATCATTGAGACTCCATGAGGTGAGATGTTGCATGGAGCCCCAGCCCGAGGGAGATTGACAGTCATGTTTAGCTTCTTCTATTTTCTAATGATTGCTCCAACAGCGGACCTTTTCTCACCAAGCTGCTTGGCAATTTCCCCGTAGCCCTTTCCAGCCTTGTGGAGGTGTAGAATTTTGGTTCTAGTGTCTTTGGACAGCTCTTTCGTCCTGGTTAGTAGATTGATTCTTATTTATTTTATGGGTGGACAGGTGTTTTTATGCAGCCAACGACCTAGAACAGGTGCATCTAATTTAAGATATTAAATGGAGTGAAGGTAGACATTTAGAAGGCTTACTAACAGGTCTTTGAGGTCAGAATAGTAGCTGATAGACAGGTGTTCAATTACTTATTTGCAGCTGCATTTTACTAATAAATAGTTTTAAAAACTACATGCACATGTACCTACAATGCACCTACATTGTAGACATGCACCTACAATCACAATTACAGACCCCTCCATGATTTCTAAGTGGGAAAACTTACAAAATAGCAGGGAGATCAAATAATTATTGCCCTCAGTGAACCTTTTTGTTTTTTGCTTTATTGCAATCAACCTATTAACCTCTATTAACATACAATCATGATAACAAAGGAATAGTTTAGAACGGAGCATATTTAGGTTTTAGAATGGCCTAGTCAAACTTCAGAAATCTATTATCCAATTTCAGTGAGCTTCAGATTATTCAAAAGGTTTAATTTTGTAAACCAGAATTCTGAATTTCTGAAACATCATTTATGACTTGTTGATCTGTCCCCACAACAGAGAACCTTGTGGTTGCATCATTGTGAGGTGTGAATAGTTTAGAGGAACACTGTTTAGTGCAGTCATTTAGAAACCTGTTTTTTCAAAC